TGGAGGAGACTCTTGAGAGTCCCCTGGACTGCAAGGAGATCAAATGTATCCATTCTGAAGGAAATCAACCTTGAGTGCTCACTGGAAGGACAGATCCTGAAGCTGAGGCTTCAATACTTTGGCCACCTCATGAGAAGAGAAGACTCCCTGGAAAAGACCTTGATGTTGGGAAAGTGTGAAGGCAAGAGAAGAAGGGGATGACAGAGGATGCGATGGTTGGACAGTGTCACTGAAGATACCAACATGAATTTGACCAAACTCCGGGAGGCAGTGGAAGACAAGGAGGGCCTGGCATGCTCTGGTCCATGGGGTCAAGAAGAATCGGACACAACTTGATTAAACAACACCACCAAAAACCAGTTGTTAAATATACATGATACTTGCTGGTGGCGGGGAAGGAGGATGAGAATTCACGAAAGGTAAAAGCAACCCTAATTTTCATATCATAGTAACTGATCAGGATTACTCTAGGGAAAGGGGCAATCAACTACCAACAGGACCTTCTGGCAGAAGTGTACAAAAGAAATGCACTTTTGCTTTCTTTTCTCATCTCAAAGAAAGCATGTAGGGTTATTAATCCTAAGGCTGCACACTAGGACTGGGATAAAGTCCTATTAACTGAATAAACTTGCAGAAGGTTGTGCTATGGATATATTTGATCTGAATTCCCATTATGTTTTCTGACCATATGACTTTAGGACTGCAACCTCTGATAGACATGATCTTTGTGAATGTAAATAAAACACCACTTTAAAGCCCTTAACTCATGCCAGATACTCAAGGAGCCAGTTTGGCAAGACCCCCAGGAAGTGAATAAAGGAAGTTTTTTAAATTGTTTCCCTTGAAAGTTTGGTTGACCTTGACTGGGAAATACAAGTTGCAGCTACTAGACATATTTTATTTTGAGCCACAGGACAACCTGGAAATTTAAATGGCATGGAGCAGTGAAGGAGACTGCCTTTGAACATGTTGAAAGTGAATTTCCTTGGGCACTGAGTACGCCCACTACAGAAGAGCATTTATGCTGGCAAGATTCAACGTACTACCGTCAGCTATTCTACTTGGTAGATACCAGAGAGTCCCACTTAATCTCAGACGATGCCCCTGTGGTCAAGATGCCATCGAAACAGTTTCTCACGTTCTCTTGGACTGCCCTTTCTACAACAGCTTGTGTGCAAGGTTTCTAGAACCATTGCTCTCCAGTTTTCAAGGACGCTCCGATAAGGCCAAGGTTTGCTTTTTAGTCCAGGGGAATATTAACCATGTCACTACCTATGTCGCTCGCTTTTTACACACCACGATTCAAATAGAGAGACCACCCCCCAGGCATAGTTGAATCACTCTCCCAACGTAATCTGGCCAGGGCTCTATTACTCTCCACAGCCTTTTTATTAATTTAAGCTTTGCATTAAGCACTCCTAATCTACATGAAGCAGTGGTCTGCAACTACTGTATACCTTGAAACTATGTAATGCTTTATTCTGCCCGCATTGAAGCTTTTTGATCTGCTTCATGCAGGGTATATACCCTCCATCTATCTGAGGACCCCTGCTTTCTGTATGTTTTATGCCAATAAAGGTTATGATGACTGACTGAGTAATTGGGATCTAAGAGCACTTGACCCAACCCTAGAAGGATGGGTTAATGTGCAGATCTCAACCTTCAGAGTTGTGGGTTGTGGTTTTGGGTTATCGAATAAGATCACTTCTTCCTTTACATTTCAGTTCTTTCCTGAATGGTGCTACATGCACAGAAATGTGGAGAACCGTGTGGAGAACCATGGTAGGGGACACAAGGTCTAACCATGGGGGGCTCTCTACCCTGAAGTTTTGGGATGAGCCACGCCCCACCTCTTGGATCTAAAACTGCTGCCGCGAATACCTTTCCACAATGAATACTAATAAGAGCAAATACATGTTCCAGAAATAAACCATGTACCTCAGATTAAACTGGATAGTTGTCTGGCAGGATTTTGTCATTCTCTCTGTCTTCCCTCTGGATAATTCATGGCTTAATTCTGGATGATTCATGGCTTTCCTAATGACAGTGTCATATAGCCTCTACTATAGTTAACTTAAAACAACTAAAGAAAACGCACCACCAGATATGATTTTGTAGAGGATGGGAATACATGTCACTTTACTGCACAGCTGTGCTAAATTTGGAATTATGTTGTTTGCTACAGACCTGCATTTGATCCCCTGTGGCTCTAATAAATACTGTTAACACTGATTTGATGTGGACAGCTAGGATGTTATAAGGCAATTATGTGAACAATTTCCATTTACATTCTGCTCTTAAATTGTCCCGAAACTCAAGACTGTTCAAAAGAACACAATTTCATCTGTATGCGTCCCAACAAGTCTTCAATATCTCAGAACTCAGTATGTTTTATTTTGACAGCTGTCCTTTGACTGACACACTGGTCTCTCCAGAGAGATAATGTGATGTAATTTTCATGACAGCCCAATTGTCACTCGTTAGGAAGGATATTGCAATCTCAATGGGGGAAAAAGTGATTCTGTCATCTGTAACCTTCCATCCCAATTGCTTCAATCTTTCATACCTCTTATGTTGGAGTGGGAGCCAAAACTGCTGCAAGATGTTGAATAAAATGACATAATTTTGCCACCCACAAAACATGTAACTGACAGTTTAACAGATTGTATTGGTGCTTGGGAAGCACATGTTCATACGAAATTGATATTTCTTTGCTTGCCACTATCAAGGACAGCTTCAGAAATACATGGTAGCAGTACTGTAGTTCATGTGTGAACGTAGGTTAGTCACATCTATGCAGAGTCAGTGCCCTGTACTACCTTTCTGCCCTTACTTCCTATTGTATCTTCAGTTGTGTCGCCTCAGCCATACAAAACTAGCTCACTCCTTTATTCTGTTGTCTCTTGTCACTTCCTGTTTCTGGAACTTTCTCCCACAATGATGACATTGTGTCATCTTTCTCTGTTCCTAAACTCCTTCCTCAAAACTCAACTTTTCTGTTAATCCTTGGACTTAACTTGTTGGCCTATCATTTAACTGAAACAAAGTTTTGCAATAAGGATAGGAAATCTCTGGCTCTCCAGACGTTTTTGGACATCTGCAGGACTGACTGTCACTCCTAGTCTGCATAGCTAATTGTGAAAGATAATGGACATTGCATTTCAACAACATCTGGAGGGACACAACTTCCAAATTCCTACCATATAAATATTTACATTTGTATTTGTCTCATATCCATCCCATTACCTTTCTTCCTTATTTTCTTCCCCAATTTGTGAATTTAGGCTGTCAGCTCCTAGGGCAGGTTCATGGATAATTCAGGAGAATACCACCTCTGTTTATGGAGTGCT